ATACGTTATGTTACCACAAATCTTTCTGCTTTACACCATGTGAAGCTTCGCATGGAATTCATTTGGGAAGGAAAGCTCAGCTCAGAATTAACCACTCAGTCAAGGAAGAGTACTGAAGAAAGGACTGTCAATAATTACTTCTGTGTCAGGAAAATAAGCCAGTTCCGCAAACTTTGTCCTAACAGCCGACAATAGTCCTTCTCAGGACCACACTAACCCAGACGATCACACTACACTTTCACATGTTACCCCCGGGTTCAAGCCATTTACTGCATAATGCAGTTTCTTGGTGATTTCCAGGCATAATGGGTGAAAAAAGTTCTGCTCGTCCTTCAGGGTTTATTAATACGCCCATTACGAGAAAAAAAAGGTAAAAGCCGTGGTAAAAAAAGCTAGCTTTTATTTTACAAGAATTGACAAAACCTAAGTTTCGGAGAGGGAGCCAACCCAAATGAAGACGGAAATCAAATTTGATAAACCCCATCGCGACTTCAGGGGGACAATAATCATAACTTCTCCCAGAGAATCATGATCTTCCTGTCAGATAACTTTGTTACAGACAAGTAGCGTGCATCTTTCCTGTTTAGTCACAGTAGAGACGTTATTTTAGCAACAATGGTCTCTGAGTTTTCCCTTTATTTTACTAAGGTATTGAGGTAATAGATTGAGCTACTTTTGCTTAATAGAACACTAACATGTTCGAGCCAGAGCTGCAAAAGGCTTTTGTTAAAGATCTGTTTTAATGATTTTTTCTAATTTTTTATCATGGCCTAGCACCAGGGCTAACCACTCAACTCTTTTCTCCTCGTGTCACAATGACCTGTATTCACACCTGTAAATTGATGGTGGCACTCTGGCGCCTTTTAGATCGCAAAATGAGCAAGTATCGCTAAATGCGAGAATTTAACCTTATATTTTAATGTCAAATAGAATTACGATGACAATTTTCTACTGTACCAGCTCAAATGAAAGGTCCMAAAAAATACATGAAGGAATCACGTAAAATGTGGTCATCAATTTTTATTTCAGCTGTGAGCCAACACTGAGAAGATACTTTGGTACTTATACCTGAGTCGTCGCGATGTTCCTAAAGAAACGATGGAAAATGTAGTTAGAGTCATACAGCCCAACTTTTATCCTGCAACCCTTATCATTAATTCTTGTTAAGTGTGTTTACTTTGTGTCCTCACACGTCACAATTTGCGCTTTCAATGAAGGTACCCTCAGGAGGATAGGGTCTAAAAGTACTTACGAGTGACCACGAGTGACCACGAGTGACGACGAGTGACGACGAGTGACCACGAGTGACCACGAGTGACCACGAGTGACCACGAGTGACCACGAGTGACCACGAGTGACCACGAGTGACCACGAGTGGCCACGAGTGACCACGAGTGGCCACGAGTGGCCACGAGTGACCACGAGTGACCACGAGTGACCACGAGTGACCACGAGTGACCACGAGTGACCACGAGTGACCACGAGTGACCACGAGTGACCACGAGTGACCACGAGTGACCACG